GCGGGATTGCACAAACACATGATCGCATCGGCTAGTCTGGTGCGCGTTGCTATTTATTACACTTTGTTTAGATAAATACGTCGTAATCGACAAATTGCATCTCCGAACTGATTTTTCTTCAAGTTTTTAAACAGTGAAGCAAATTAGGGATGATTTCAGCGCTTGTCTGCCTTCATCAATGTCCATTTGTCTGTATTATGCCTTTTTCTCACTACGTCTTGTCCGCTAACTAAAGCTTGTGTTTATTTTCACTCTGCGCACGATGTTTTTTCCTGTTACTTCGGCACGATAGCACATCTGTTCTAGTACAAATGTGGCACTGAGACATACGAAGTCCACGTGTCACGCTAGTGCTGTTATTATGACAGTCTCAAACTTTAGCTTTGTGATTCCAGCATTTCTCCCATTATTCTATTTTGTGCTTGTTCCTGCCAAGGAATAAAGGAAATAAAAAAGTGCGGTGGAAAAATGAAAAGTTTGGAAAGCTATACTTCTTTTTTCGCCGGCAGCGATGAGCGTGACGGAACGATCGAACGTATTGACAAGCCACTTTAGCACCACTCCACCCAAATACCTGCACAAACAAATATCCAAGAAAAAGAAGGAAAATCCATGATAAGAATACTCAAAATTACCTACACAGTTAACATCAATAAACCCTTCACTTCTTTACTAACTTCTACACAAGTTATTACGGCCAACAATGTTGCTCAGATCACGATATCCGCTGCATGTAACACGCAAAAATCACCCATCTCGAAGCTTCTGTTAGAGCTACTTCGTTAATTTTTCTTACAGCAGAATTGCTCTAGAGCAACCCTGACACTAGTGAAGGAACAAACTGGAAGAAACTTAGCAAATCAAAACTTTAATATCCCGAAGCCCCAGGAAAGATGTATTATATGCAGATATTAGTCATAAGTGTTAACTAGCTGTATTATTATATCACCTGAAAATACAGCAGCACATGGCATAATGGGGCTTCACTGACTGCAATCTAAGCCCTGTACGGTCTTGTCTGGAAGAAATGCAGAAAAAAAAAACGAACCAATAAACGTATGGATATTCAAATGGAGCAAAAAGATCCAAGTAGAATGACAGATAAAAATGATATCTGATGAGCGACAATGTATGCAACAGGACGAATGAGGTTAAAGAGAGGCTTGCTGATGACTCCTGTCCATTGTAGTACAGGTCAAATGTTGCCTCTGCACGTTCAGCCTGAAATGTCACAAAATATACACATACTTTGATCAGGCGCAATTCACAGCTGACTTTCAAACTGTGCGGCTAGTAGTTTTTCAAGTCGATTTTACCAATGCGACATCGTTTGCTGGTCAGCCTTCTGGCAATCCTGATCTGGTTTTTTCTTCAAACAAAATACATGTTGTGGGAAAAAGCGTTAAACAAACGGACCTCAGTATGCAGCGCCGAAAAATCCTCGATGCAATTAATAATTTTTTCACGTTGCCTTGCTAGATTCTGTCCAAACATCTGAATTACGCTGAGGAAAACTTTCACGGAATCATTCACAAATTCATTCCAGCAAGTACGACACTGTTCATCCGTTAAAGCGGTACTGCTGCAACAGTATTTACATAGCCGGAGAACAAAATAAATAAATGTTAATCCAGAAACACTAAATGAAGCAAGTAGTATGTAACAAGCCATCCGGCTTGAACTATGTGTTTATGCCACTGTTGTCACGGTCACGGAACAGATTACAAAAATGAGCTGCAATGACCAAATTCTCAGTCCTTCTGAAAACAACAGAAAACTGCGCTCGCCAAAGCTGGTTGCTCCAAACCGCACTTTTCCAGCAACTAAATGGGCCTACAGATACTTTCAGAAAATCACGCTTAAAAAATATCGAAAAACAATAACCAGAAGCGTCCGACAGAAAAATTATAGAGTGCTAGCGCAGGATGAACTACAGAAACAGCAACGTAGGACATTTTTCAAAAGTACATAAGCAATGAAAAAAGCTGAAGAGTGAACGCATCTTGCAACTACAACAAATTCTAAAATGCGTGATGAGACAACAAACAGTACTATATGCATCACGCACAAAAAAAGTGAAATAGGAAACCAAAAGGCAAAGCGCCGAACTCAAGTCTGCAGTAGCTATAAAATTTCCAGTAATTTGGGGGGCCATCAAGCAAGATGCGGGTGTTTACGACACGGCATTAAGAAATGGCCTAGCACCGTCCCAGCAAACAATATGAAATTAATCAGCAACTGAACTCTCTACGCAAGGATGCATAGCAATTATCGCACTGAAGCGGGTGTTTAGTGGTAAGATCATGCATTGAAAGGAGCTCAGACAGTCAACCGAAACTAAAAAAGGAAAAAGAGACAAAACGACTAAGTTCTGCAGTAAAATATCATAAAATAATTGGCCAACGTATGGGCTGCCCGTACGAAGATGCGTTTTTTGCATAGTTTCCCGCAGCTTTTGTCGCTACCGCCATCGGTTTTTTCGGAAAAATGCTTCTAGCTGAATAAATTAAGACTGGCCGCCAGAAATGCCAGGAAACACCCCTTAAAATTTCAGCTTTCTAGCTTTCTTGGCTCCTGACTTATCACCCATTTGGACGGGGAACATCCACCTAAGATTTCAACATTCTAGCTTCTCAGATCCCCGAGTTATGAAGTTGCCCTAGAAGAATTTTGGCGGGCCCGTACGCGAGTACTACGCTTACCCGGGGGATGGGTTTGAGTGCATTAATATCCAGTTGGACGGGGAACGTCCCCCTAAGATTTCAGCGTTCTAGCCTCTCAGACCCTCGAGTTATGAACTTACGCGAAAAAAATTTTGGCGGGCCTGTGTGCGGGTACCACGCGGGTGATGGCGCCAATTTTGGGGATTGGGGCTGGCACGTGCATGCAGATTAAGTTCCCAAAATTTCAGCCCTACAGCTTTTATAGGTCTTGAGATGAAAGTGCGTGACAAACGCACACACAGACACACGGACACACAGACAACCCCTCGTCAATATGCATTTTTGCATTGCATAGCTGCAAAAAACGCGTAAAAAGCATACCTGAATCTATTCAACTAAACTAAGCAGCAAGAAAAAAATCATTATGAAAGTTGGTCGTATAAATACTTCCAAAAAAAGCAAACTACGGAATCGGCCGAAGAAAACGTACGTCGGATCGAGGATAGCAGGTGCCGCAAAAAGACGAATAGATTCAATAATAACAGATGATAACGGGGTGCGACCCATAAGGCGATCGTCCCTGGGAAAAAGAACCAACTGCAACAGCGACCGCGACAACACACAGCTATCCGTCAAACTGTACGTGCGCAAAAAATCCTAAAACACCACACTGTACTCTAAAACTTAAGCAGTACTGTAC